TCTTATTTCAAGGCTTAAGTCTGGATTATTAAAACAAGGCTATCTGTGTTCATGTACTCCATCCACCAATATTCCCTTCATGTTTTCTTCATCCTCATTCAAACATCATAAACATATAGAAATATCTGATCTTGCCATCCTTATCTTGTACTCCCTCTTTATATCCTCCCTGATTGGAAAATAAAGTCCACCTCTCTTAGATTGGTATGCAGATGTTTTCAAATTTTTGCCTTTACAGTGCCCCCCATTTGCTGAATAAGAATGTTTATTATTTAGACCAAGTTAGATATTCTATTATTTATACCTGCAAAGCTTTTCTCCAACTTATTCAAATTTGTATACCAACAGGCAGACCAAGATTCAACTATATAGTTGGTAAATAGACAGGTGGAGACATAAATGATAATTTTATTACATTCCAAATTATAAATAATAGCTAATCAGTAATAGATTTAATAAGCTTTTAGACATATTAGATGTTTAGAAAACTATCTTAAAATATGTAGGTGTGCTTCTGTGTCTGTTTACTCACTCTCAAGCAGGTGGAAGTTATAACCTACTTTGGTATCATTTCTCCTTCCTGCGCAATGGTCAAGTTGAACTATAGACTTTCTAAGGTTTCTTCTGGTCTGGTAATACTTTTTGCAAGAGAAGCACATATATGTCCCTGCAGAGATGTATGCATTATATAAGTACACACATAAACATTAAAGCTCATATGGCTTATGGAGGAAAGCATTTATTCCTTGGAAATAAATTCATAAGTCACAGGTTGGTAATCATTTCCAGACAGCCTTAATTGGTCTGCCTCTTTTAGTAAGCCTAATGTACTTTGCCAAAGGAAGTGTATGGATTACAGTTCCACTTAGCTCAACTACAAATTTAAAACTCCTTTCACATTTTGCTGAAGAATTTATTTATGTTTTATTACAATGCCTTTTGCTTTGCTAGATTTTGCCTTCTTAATCAGGAATTTGGATGGTGGAAATTCATGTGTTAATGTAAGTTAAGATTTTTCCCCCCGTAGCAGTACAGGCTAAAATAATCTCTCCCAAAGGAGTAAGATCCAGCGCAGAAGATTGACTCATAATAGGGAGTTAAGGTTCATGTTCAGCCAGAAATAAAAACAATATATTTTAACCCTTTGGAATGTTCTTCTAACATCTTACAATATCACCAACAATATAACTATATTTCGGGCAAATTTTACTTGACTTATAAAATTATTTGAACACATATTTGTTGAGTGTGAAAGAAAGTTCCATTATACTGGCCTAGGCAGAAAGACTGAGAACTAATTTAGTGATGACCAGAAGACTATTCATGTTTAAAAGCATAAATTATAGAGTTTGAGTATATAAGAGGTGTGACAAAAAGCTCTAAAGTAGATAACAGAGTTTTAATGAATAAGAGAGTACTTAATTTATGAGGTATATTTGGAGAACAATTTACCACATAAAACAGTAATAGTTTAACAAAGTACATAAGCCATCATATTATTTCCCTTTCTGTCATTTTAAAACTATCTTGTGATATCTAAAATGTATACGACAGTTCAAAAAACATAGTAACTCACCAGATACACATCACACAATTTAATGACCACAAATTGTGCTGGATTTAATTTTTAGTTTTACTTACTCCTTCCCACTTCTGATTATCCTGGAGCAAACATCAGATTTCCCATTATTTCATTCTTAAAAAAGATGTTCTTACTTTGAAGGTACTTAATATTCTAAAAATTTTATCACTAGATTTTTAAAAAAAAATTTGGTCCTGAAAAAGCCTTTTCTATCCCAAAATTATTATGATAGTCTCTTATAGTCTTTCTAATGTTTAGTTATTTTATTTAGTTTTGTCATTTAAATTTACAATTCATTTGGACTTGATTTAGGCAGAGGATTATTCCTACTTTGTATATACCCATACCGATTGTCCAATATAACTTTGTGAATCTATCATTCTTGTATCATTGCTCTGTAGTGCATACATACATCAAATGTCCACATGAACTTGTACAAAATTTGATAATAATTAGGTTGTAAGATAAGTCTTAAAATATTTTCAATGGATTGAAATCTGTCTAAAATTATCTCTGATCTTAAATATTATATTAGAGCCCTGCATAGTGGTGCATATCTATAATCCCAGCAACTCAGGAAGCAGAGGCAGGATGATCACAAGTTCAAGGCCAGCCTCTAAAAGTTAGTGAGACCCTGTATAAAAGTAAAAAAGGCTTCCCCTGTAGCTCAGTGGTGGAGTGCTAGAAGTTCAACGCCCAGTTTCACAAGTAAATGAATAAATAAAATAAGTAAATAAATAAGTGATAAATAAAATATAACTAGAAAGTGTCTCGTATCTTTAGAAGTTAAGAAAATAGGAATATTTAAAAATGAATGAATGAAAAGACTACATAATAAAACTGAGATATATCAAAACCATATATAAAAGCCATAAACATACTCTTAAATACACATTTATTCAGTATAGAATACTAGGTTGGCAGTTACTTTGCAACTTGAACATTTTCATTTTTCTGGCTTCCCATTGTAAAGTTATCTGTTACGTAGACACTCTTTTGACGGAAATCTCTTTTTCTTGATAGATTTTCATATTCATGTTATATTTGACTTTATGCAGCTTTTCTATGTGTGTTTAAATATAGATTTCTTTTTGTTTTTCCTATTAGTTTTGAAAAACAATTAGACACTGTGCTGACTTTTGTATTTCAAATCAAAATAAACTAACTGTTCTTCTCGTGTTTATGTCCTTGCTTTTTTCTAGTATTTTTTATCACTTTTTTCTTCAAACATCATGCTGAACAGTTTCTTCTGATGTGTCTTCAGTTCTTCATGGTCTCTTAAGCTATTTATAATTAGCTATTAAGTGAATTTATTATCATAATTTCATGTATTAAGTTCCTAGATATATTTGATCTGTTTTTAAATATTCTATGTTATATTTACAGTCTCCAATACCCTGGTCAGATTTCAAGCTTGGTTTATGGTTCTTGAACTTAATAAACATAATTATTTATGGTTTGTGTTTGATAATCCATCGCTACATTTGTGTTTCTACATTTATGTTTGTATTACTTCTTGGTTTTAATTTACCTGGCTGTGTTCAATCCTGTGGTATATCCACAGGATTCAAAAGTTGTTAGAAGTAATTGGAAGCATAGAATATTGTTACTTTCCCACAGAGATCATTTTAATTTGCTTCTTTTAGGCATATGAGAGAATTAACAGTTCTATGCCATTTTTATCCAATTTACTTTCTTTTTACCAAGGATATTAAAACTTGTATTATAATGATTTTGCATAACTAATACAAAATTTCTTGACATGAAGTCAAAAAATGGAAGAAATTTGCTCAAAAAAGGCTTTTTTAATTCCAGTGTCTCTCTTTGGGTTAACTGAGTTATGTAGACACCATCATACTAAAGTTAGTGAGGACATGGACATGAATGCCTAGTTGACTGCTTTAAACCCCTCCTATCTGAAATCAAAAAGACCAATTCTATTGCATAATTGATTTTTCTCTTTATTTGCATTTTAAAGATTACCAAACAGGGAGCATTTGTCTTTCCTTCTTTGAAATGGTTATAACTTCCTGTCATTGATATTTGTACTTCTCAGCTTTACAGTCAAGACATCCTATGTTTAATAGTTTACATGTTTATCATGGGCTTCCTTTTTCTTTACTACTGAGATATATCCTCAGCCCTTTTTATTCTGGCAATACTGGCTTCACTACCTTCTCAACATTTCCCAGAATACATATTTTTCCCAGGGTAATCCAATTTTTTTCTTCTCTTTACATTAACACAAACACAAACACACACACACACACACACGGACTCTCTCTCTCTCTCTCTCTCTCTCTCTCTCTCTCTCTCATCTGTTCGGCAAGAACTACATCATAATTTTTGTCCTCTCTTTGTGAAGAACTCATGGCTTCCTAGAGCAAAAAGCCTATTTTCAATTTCAAAGTTAAATAACATTGTACTATAATTTGTATCATTTAAAACTGTGTATTCTTTATATAAATTGTTCTAAACATGTTAGGGACTAAATGATGTGTTCCCTCAAAATATACACATTGAAATCCTAACCCTCAATATAACCGAATCGGGAGGTAAGGTCTTTATATATGATTAGGTTATGAGTGTGACACTCTATTAAATAGCATTAGTACACTTACAAAAGAGACCTCAAAGGTCTCTAACTCTCCACCACATGAGGACATAATGAGAAGTTGGATATCTATGAACCTAGGAATGGACTTAGCAGACCTTGAATTGGCCATTGTGTTAATTTTGGGTTTCCATGCTTACAGAATGGTAGGTCATGAATGTTCATTGTTTCAGCTACTCAGTCTATGGTATTTTCGTTGCTCGAACTAAGACAAAGTATATGTCTTGTCTCTAGTGAGACTATGTTTTTCAAGAAAACAAGTTATCAGATATTTTCAGAAACCTATTATGGTGCTTTGTTTATAACTGTTCTGAGTATTAACTTAAATAAAGAAAAGTATACTATATTTAGAATCTACAAAATTACTAAGTATCCTAAACTAAATGGCATAAAGGCCTACAAAAATTATTAACGTTGATATATTTATTTTTTTAAGAGAGAGAGAGAGAGAGAGAGAGAGAGAATTTTTAATATTTATTTTTTAGTTTTCGGCGGACACAACATCTTTGTTTGTATGTGGTGCTGAGGATCTAACTCGGGCCGCACGCATGCCAGGCGAGCGCACTACCGCTTGAGCCACATCGCCAGCCCCAATATATTTACTTTAATTCAAATTTAATAGTTAACAGCTACAATGATTTATCCTTATTTTGATGATGAGAATTCAGCAGAACTAAAGTAACTTTCATTTATGTCTTTCATTGCGAAAACATCAGGATAATCCTGTGAGAGTACCCAAGCACTTTCTATGTTCATGACTAACTCAGACTACTTTAGAATTGCAGTTTATCACTAGATGCTTACTGTAGTTGTAGATGTTTTTGTGGAAGAAGTTGGCTGTGCTGTGGTCCAGGGAAGCACATGAATTATGACTGTGGTAGTAGCTGACAGCTGACGAGCTTTATTCCCACCTAATTCATCAGTGACTTCAATAAACAACTGGAAAGTCACTGGGTCTTGAATCCCTTGAAATACATCATACTGGAAATTCTGCCTGATGACCAGAGAAGGAGGATCAACACCCAGTCTCCGAAGTGTGAACTGATTATTTGTATTTCCTGAAAATGATGAGGTAATAAAACAGACAAAAAACTACATTATGTATTATTGTTTCTACAGTTTAAGTTTTTATTTAAAAGTATTCCCCAATTTGTTTCAGCTACTACTACAGTTCCCTAATTTGTTTCCAACAGTTACAAAATATCTCACATGAGTATCTTATAAAATAGCAAAGAAGTGATGTATTTGCAATAATCTGTCTTACCTCCTACAATCGAATAGCTCAGATGTTCCTTTGGAGAATCTTTGTCTGAACAGTTGAGGTGAACAAAAGGAGCCTTAACAATGGAGTAAATCCGAGTTTCCAAATGTGGTGGATTGCATACAGGAGGCTCATCATTTATATTCTATAATACAAGGATATTATCTATTTCAGATTATCTCAAAAGTATTGGCATATTTAATCAATTATTTACTTAAATTTTATAGTACACTATTTTTGCTTTCAACAATATTGTTTGCACACACTTTTACAAATCATCTTAATTATGTTATATTAGAAGAATATATTTTAATGTTTTACCATAAAACTTTTTTGTTTGGAGTTTCCCAGCAGTGAATTCCATATTTTACTTAATAAGTGTCTATTTCATATGTAATATTGCTAGGACAGGTACTCATACTATTTATTTTATTTTTAAATTTTAAAAATAGATTGAAAGCTCAATGTGATCTACAGTAATCATTTCCCTTTATTGCAGACATATGTGTCAAAAAGTTTCCTGAGTAATGTTTAAAACGGGGTAATCTCTACCTAAGAAGAAGCACATTTCACTCTTGGAGAGTTTTACTTTTGTTTATCTCAAGTATGATTTTTTTTTCTATAAATTCATCCAATTTGTTGTTTTTCAGAAATTTATGATCTAGTATAAAATGTGACTTACATTTCAAACAAATGGATGATTTCAGCAATTAGATTGGCAAGGGAATTTTATTATCTTTAGGAATGTTTGAATCTCAGAATTCTAAGATTCTTTGACTATCATCAGGATACAAACTAATAAGCTACTTGCCATCATCTCCCTTTTCTCTCTCAACTATAGAAGACATTGTTAATCTATTAAAGTAACAGCTTCATTGATATCTTTCATCGCCAAAACATAATGATAAGCACTTTCTGTTTGTGATTAAATCAGACTGCATTAGAATTATGTTTTCTCACAAAGTAATTACTATAGTATTTACTATAGTTATTGCTCCTGAAGAATATAGATAGTCTGAGAGGTATTTCCAAAGTACTGTAACAGAATGGAATGTGAAATGAAATCACTTTATGTCTGTGATTTGGGAAAATGAAGTGCCTAAATCAACTTGTACATTCCTTATTCCCCTTACTAATATTTCTTGAAGTATTATTACACTTTTTGCTTCATGCTAATAAGTTCACACAATTTTTTTTTGCCACACTAACCTATTTATATATTCACTTTAAAAAATCTCTGTTCCTTATGAGACATTCTGAACAGTGTAAGTTAATTGAAAGAGGACATTTTTCATCATATAAATGATAGTCCCTTATAGGTACTCCTATGCTCTTCTAGTCTAGGCAACTGTGTTTTTTGTGTTTTATAACTTCTTCTTATTTTACCTTAAATATTAACAAAATTTAAATCTCTTTTCCCTCACTAATCAAATTTTATTTTTAATATAGACCTAATGTATTTTAAACATTTTGAATGAAATGTTGCTTATAAAGCATTTAAAAACCTAATATAGGGATCTATGATTATCAAATGAAAATTGCCCAGTATCCAATTTAATTATTATTTTTTTTCATTTTAATATAAAGGGAAAATATATACAAAATGTAGGAGAAAATGCCTGTGTAAAACTAGATATAGAATGGGTATTGGAGGCATAAGCCAAAACACACTGAAGAATAGTAATCGATAGATATAGTAAGATATAGGTGGGATTCTATTAGGCTTAAAATTAATTTCTTCTCATTATTATCTGTTATTGTAAGTTCTTATATGCTGTTTTGTCCTTGTCATATTGTAAGTTTCAGAAAAACTCTTTTCCTTTAGGAGTTAATTTCATGTTAATATTCAGATAATTAAAATACACTATTTATACCAAGGACTCTCATGGGCAATAATGCTGTTCTTTACTTATCCATCACTAGGACATTGATCTTTCTTTTATGTAACAAGTGCCTACTCACCTAACCAGGAGCAAACTTTCCCAGTTTAACAGGAAATATATGATCTGGAACAAGTTGTTCATGTAGTTCTCTTGTTTTGGAGAGTGAAATCCCTAAATTATGTTGTGGATAATTTCCACACAAGGTACAGATCTCTTTTCCTCTCCACCCCACTCCCCCACACACCCATATCAAGTGGTTAAGATTCTATGATGGCAAAAAAAGATCAAGCTAGTTTAAATCAAAACTGGATTTTGGCAGAGTTCCTTGCTTTTCTATATCTATTCAATGTGTTACTTCACAGAAAATTTATTTTGTCATCTAATTACCATTGGACTTATTCATTCATTCACCTTTTCCTCTCTCTTCAATTGATTTATTTGTGAAATAAAATAGATAGACCAGACTACTAACAATGGTTGTTTGAATATTCCGTAGCTCTTTCACAAACAATGTATACGAAAGTATATTACTTAGTTTTGAAGTGTCTTACTCTAAAAAGTTATATATAAAAGGCACTTATAGAATCTCCATACTGCTTTCCATATTGGCTGCACCAATTTGCAGTCCCACCAGCAGTGTATGAGTGTACCTTTATCCCCACATCCTCGCCAACACTTCTTGTTGCTTGTGTTCATAATAACTTCCATTCTGACTTGAGTGAGATCTAATCTTAGAGTAGTTTTGATTTATATTTCTCTAATTGCTAATGATGATGAACATTTTTTCATATATTTATTGATTGATTGTGTATCATCATCTGAGAAGTATCTGTTCAGGTCCTTGTCCCATTTATTGATTGGGTTATTTGTTTTTTGGGTTTTTTTGGTTTTTTTGGTGTTTAACTTTTTGAGTTCTTTATATACCCTTGAGATTAGTGCTCTCTCTGATGTGTGAGGTGTAAAGATTTGCTCCCAAGATGTAGGCTCTCTATTCACCTCAGAGATTGTTTCTTTTGCTGAGAAGAAACTTTTAAATTTGAATCCATCCATTTATTTGAAAATTGGGAATGGAACCACCACTTGACCCAGCTATCCCTCTCTTCAGTCTATACCCAAAGGACTTAAAAATAGCATACTACAGGGACACAGCCACATCAGTGTTTATAGCAGCACAATTCTCAACTGCTAAATTGTGGAACCAACCTAGATGCCCTTCAGTAGATGAATGGATAAAAAAAAATGTGGTATTTATACACAATGAAATATTACTCAGCAATAAAATAGAATAAAATCATGGAATTTGGAGGTAAATGGATGGAGCTGGAGGAGATAATGCTAAGTGAAGTTAGCCAATTCCAAAAAACCAAATGCCAAATGTTTTCTCTGATGTAAGGAGACTGATTCCTAGTGGGGTAAGGAGAGGGAGCATGGGAGGAATAGACAAACTCTAGATAGAGCAAAGGTGTTGGAGAGGAAGGGAGGGGGCATGGGGTTAGAAATTATGGTGGAATGTGATGGTCATCGTTATCCAAAGTACATGTATGAAGACATGAATTGTTGTGAATATACTTTGTATACAACCAGAGATATGAAAAATTGTGCTCTATCTGTGTAATATGAATTGTAATTCATTCCACTGTCATATATAAATTTAAAAACTAATTTTTAAAAAGGAAGTTATGGCCCCTAAGTTCTTTGTTAAGGAGGTTCTAGCGTACCATCACTGGAAGGACAATGTGAATGGAAGGTACAACCAGAACTGTGTAAGAATAAGCACTTTACAGTTACAAGGATGAGAATTAAATGGGAGGGTCATGACTTCATGGAGTTGGACTCACTTGTGAATTGTATGATAAAGCTTGTTACCTTCAAAAATTAAGTTCTTTAATGAGGAATTAATTAACAAGTCTAGATAGAGGAAACATATTGCTAAAAAGGAGGGAGAATACAGGCAAACAAATATTCCTCAGAGGGAAATTGTATAAAGGCTTTCAAAAAAAAAACATTTCTATTATAATTTTTGGCTCTTATTTATTGATAGCTTCCAAATTCATCTTGTGACCTAATTTTCTAAAGCTGTAATTTTCAACAATCTTTTTGATATCTCTATTATATTTTTGAACTCTGGGAACATGTTGGAAAGATAAATTCATCCTTTTCCAATATTGTTTTGACCAGCCTTTAAGCTAGTCCTTAAATTAAGCACAGGGAGACCCTGCCAACCTTGAATCATCAGTTCCTTTTTACTGAGGTGCTGTTTTTATGGTTTGGGATTTAATATATTATTCCAGAGTTGCTTGCCAGAATTAATTTTGGCAAAAGACCATCATTTCCTTGACTAACTAGATCTCCAATTACAGTATAACAAAGCATATTCATGTCTCTAAGTGTTCTCAATTAAAATATTAGAAGTATAACTAGTTCATGGAAATTTGTTCAATACAAAGTCCAAAGAAAAACTAAAGTTTTACTTGTTATGTGTGATGAAAATTTAAACCTATTAAACTCCTAGAATGCTCATACTCTGTAATTTTATTACATATATTTATTAGCTAAATTTAAATAACTAAAAGCAAACTTAGCTAATATATCTGGGAAGTTCATTCAAACCTGTTCCCAATTAAAGAGAAATAAATTGACTTAAGATTATCTTTAACTAACAGGAAAAGACATTTTCAATTTCTGTCTTGTTGCACACTAATCTAAGGTTTTAATAAAGAAACCAAAGCCATCTGTGTTTTTTATTCTAAATTAATAAACCATTATTATTAGTGTAGGAATTAAAATTTTAAAATATAGTTATAATTTTAATTTTATATTCTGGAGATAGAACGGATTTTCTTTAAAGGTAGAAAGTGTATTGATTTTTAAACTACAAATAAGTTACATTCACGGACAATTTGGGCAGCTATGAACCATTTCCTTGTATAAATTATAGTTAAATAAAAAATACTAAATGGAAACTTAATAAAGTTAACCCAATTTCTGATAATAATTTGCTATGCTAACATTGGCACTGTACACTGATTCTTATTATAAAAAGCAGAGTAGTACAAAAACAAATAATAAAACAAAATTAAGTCTGTAAGAGGATATTAGGGGATTAGTTATAAGTTGATAGGGCATTCTCTCACAAAAATGTTTAGAGAAGGTGTGAGTCTAATATCTAGTTGAAAATGACTGTCAATTATTTGCCTGAATCTTCAGTGCCTGCAGAAAATTCATGAGCAAACAAATGGACTTTCCTATTGCCTACTGTGTT